GAGGTTCTGTTATCATTATAAAAAGGACTCCCACACATACACTTCTGTAGCTACATTCCGTTATTTTTGGATTTTGTGAGGACTCGACTATTTTAGACCATCTAATTTTATTTTACCTACTTTCGTCAAGAAAATACGAGAAGTGCAAGGCAAGACATTGATTCGTCGTATAGAAGACGTCAACGTTTGTTGTTTTTCTTATATTCGGTATGCTATCACTTATTGTCGAAATTCATAATTTTCGTTTTTGTCAAGATTACTTTATTATTTTGTTCGTGTTGCTAGGAGATCAGGTTATCTTTTTCCATATCACTTTTTCTCATAACTTCCTGTATATCTTCTAGACCGGCTTGCCCTAATGGATAATATGTCAGAACTATGAAACCGAGGATCTATGGTTCGCCAAAACGTGCTACGCTCGAGGTGCACTATAAGGATGACGTCAAATCCAACTATTCGCTCAGATAAAAGTAGCCCAAGAGTTGGTGGTGGTTGCTGTTAACTAGCTGTCTTCCCTCTAGTAGGTCCAGTTTAGTTAAGTCTAGGCGCAGATAGCCTTGTGAAGCTTTACATAAATACTTATATAGCCCCAACTGTTTTTGTTTCGTAAAAAAATATGAATGCTGTCTAATCTAAGGTTGACATCGTGAGGCATATGACCTGAAAAATTGGGTTTTAAAATACCACTACCGCGTTTGTGCAGTAAACCATGAATCTTGTAAATATCTTAAAGAATAGTTTGTACGGATAACTCCTACTATAATCTTGTATATATTCATTCCGGGCTCTAGCTCCTGTCCCTTGAGGGTAGGGGTAGTAGAGCTTTTGTTGGCTCTTTTTAGTGACTTTTTAAGATTGATAATATGATTTTTTAAACCGCTCGGGAGAATAAGTGAACTGGAGTAGACCGAAGTAAAATTTGGGGGTGCAGGCCCACCCTAGCATCCCCATATTTAACTGTTCGACAACGCATAAAGTACACTCCATTGCTGATACCCTAAACAGACATTTTTAGAACTCAACACACACTACATTTATTTATTGTACGTGTAGAAATAAACTGATCGTGTGTCCAAGAATTTCGTAAATCTTTTAAATGCGGTAATAGCGTGGGTAACAATAACAATCATTTCAATTCTCAAAACGACATAGTGTTAGGTGCCTGTCTGGCCAGATGTTCTTCATCAAAGGCCGTCTCTTCAACCGACTGTTTATAGATACCTGTTACTAGGATCTACCAACAATAACAACTGAACAGGAATACGCTTACCATCAGAAAATCTGTGTCCACCAACTAATGGTGACGACAGTGGTTCTTAGAATGCAAACTTTGAACACTGAATGACATGATTTGTGTGATGTGAACTTATGAGTCGTTCGTCATTCTCTTTTTTGTACTGTCGGTAAATAAATATATGTTTGTTTGTTGAACTTTCGGGGAAGCTATCTGCGTTAGCCGTCCCTAATTTAGAAGTGTTAGACTAGGAGGAAGGCACTGCTCATTCTTGGGCGACTCTTTACCAAAGAAAAGTAGAATTGACCGTCACAGTATAACGCCCCCAGGGCTGAAAAGGCGAGCATCTTCGGTGATGCGAGTCAAACGTCCTAAACATCAGACCATGTCAGGCTACGTAAATGAATGTTTGTCTTTGAATTCTGCGCAAAGCTACACGAGGGCTATCTGCGCTAGCCGTCCTTAATTTAGTAGTGTAAGACAAGAGGGAATGTAGCTAGTTATCAACACCCACTGCCAACTC